GAAAAGAAAGAAAATTAATAATAATTAATTAGAAAATTATTAATTTAATAAAACTATAAATTAAGTGCAACACACATAGCTAATTTAATAAAATAATAAGGCTAAATATGGATAATAATATAAGTTAAAAATAGAGTTAATTATAAATAGGATTAATTAATATAAATTACTTATTCACCTGATTTAGTAGTGATTGGTAATTACTATGTCACATGCTGCAGCTGCGCCATGTCTACTGCATCACATGAATAAGCTAATTGATTACAGTATTATAATTTGATAACCCATCAAAATATTAGATATTATAATTTGGTAGGATGCCAAAGTATTAAAATTTATAGATCAAGATTTAGTAAGTAATAGAATATGATTAGATATATAATTCAGAAGAAAATTGGTAGGCTGTCAAGATATAATTGATATAGAAATATAAATATATAAAAAATTGTATTTTGATCAGATATCAAGTAGAGATAACAATTTATGAAAATTGGTAGAATGTCAAAGTATAATTATTAGAAATATATAAAATATAAAATTATGCTTTGGTGGGTTATCAAGTAGGGATAATAATTTATAAAAATTGATAGGCCATCAAGGTATAATTATTACAGATATATATAATATAAAATTATACTTTGGTAGATTATCAAATAAATATTAGCAATTTAGTACTACGTGTCTTATTCTTGGGTAATATTTGAGTACAATATGACAGATAACATTCAACACTACGTATCTCATTCTTGATCAGTATTTGAATGAATTATATAAAAGATCATGATTAATATTTTGGTATTTGATACCTTAACTCTGGCTCTTATCAAGAAATTAATCAGAAAACTAAGGTACTACATATCAGGTTCAGGTATAGTCCTCATATTGGACCCACAAATGATGATACATAATTGAATACATCATTAGATATATTTTTTTGTCACATAGTTCATGTGTGACTAACATTATGAAAATAGCCATCATCCAAAATGTAAACTATGAATAATTAAAAGATTAGCAGACTATGATTAATATAAAAGTTCACATATATATATAAAAATAACTGGAAATTGATCATAATTGATAATTAGATATATAATATATCATATATAGCTTGATGATAAAAATTTGTCATAATTTTGATTAATCATATATGTAGACTATAATATCAGATCATATTATTATTACTATTTTAATATATGAGAATTAATATTACTAGTAGACTATGAACTTATCAGTACAATACCTGACAAAAGTTTCCCTGCACCCCTAACTCAACACAAAGATATGGTAAGAAAAAAAAGTTTTTTTTATTTAAAAACACATGATATTACATGAAAATTAATGCATAATATAATCACCCTTAGCTTCAATTAGAGTCTCTACATGATATCTCATACTCTTTACCAAATTAGCTGCATACTTCTTAGGTAAATGATTCTATTCTCATATTATTTCATCCTTTAAATCCCTAAGTGTTCTAATTTTTTTTTTGCCAGATTCATTTTTATAAGCCTCTAGATATTTTCAATTAGGTTTTGATCAGGTGATATCGATAGCCAGAAGAGAACTTTAATGTCATTTTCTTCTTTCCATGTCTTTGTGATTTTCGAATGGTATTTTGGGTCATTATCTTCCTGCAAAATCCAACTATCACAATCTTCATCAAAAAGGTCCTTAGTAGAAGACAGAAGAGCTATTTCATACAGTGTAATCATATATTATATGTTAAGATTACGTGTAAAGCATATCAATCTTCCAAAGTCTAAAAAAGAAAAACAGCCCTATACATGAACCTTCAATAGATACTTGATGGAACAGGTTATTTTCCTTGTCCCAATGAACTGCCAAGTCTTTTTTAGTTATTGATTTAAGCAGAAAGTACTTTTGTTAGTAAATATTATGGAATTTCAGTTGAAATCCTTATGCTCCTTTGCCCATGAGAGACATTTTTTTTGATGCTTTGCTCCAAGCAAAGACTTCGCGAGTTTTCCATAATAATGAGCTTCATCTTCGTCAAGGTACCATTGAATAGTGCATATGTAAATGTCTATATTTTGCTTTAGAAATTTACAGTGGATTTCTGGGACAGTAATATCTACATTCTCTTTTGCCAACTTCAAAATTCATTTGTCTTATTTTTTGGTGGTGGCTCTTTGACAATCTGATCTTGATTTGTTACTTAGGTCTTTATTTTTTTGCCATCTTTTTACCTATTTTTGGACTGTTTTTTCATTACAATAAACCTGCTTTGCCATTTCACGTATCAAGAGCTTGGGATCTTTTGGGTGGGTGGTTAAAAAGATGATTTCATATCATTTATGTAAAGGAAGAGATATTTTTTTGACTGAAAAAATTATTATATAAGTAGCGTAGGTATTTTTACTATATACTCTGTCCAAAGAAGTTTAATATGATTAGCATATATAATGTACTACATCCATGTGAAATTTCATATGCCTATACATGATCTTTTGAAAATTATAGGTACAGGGAAACTTTTGTCGGGCATTATATCATAAAAATTATTTCAAATGTATGATAGTTCATAGTATATGAATATATAGGTACTACTAGTATATTATGAACTTGTCAGTATCATAAAAAATATTTCAGTAGTATAACATTTCATAATCTAAGTTAAGTTAATTCATAATATATATATATTATGAACTGACTAGAGTTATAACTAGTTATAACTTTGTCACAATTTTCTGATTAATTATCATAACTCTATCATAACTCTCTGATTGGCTATTATAAATTACAACTAGTTGAAAAGTTATCTTTAATTAAGACTGAATTTTTCAAATTTTTAGATATAATTATTAAAATATTTTATAGTTTTCTATATAAAAGTACTTAGAAATATATCAAAATCAAGTAAATTATTAATTATAATTATTATATTAATCAATTATATCTGAATAATAATAAATTTAAGAAAAATTTTACTTATATTTTTATATAAATAATATATAAGTATTCTGTATGAGATATTTCTAACTTAATAAAAAAATATGTATATTTTCTTCTATATTATTTTTCTAAAATATATATATATATATTTTATTATAAATTACTATTAATATTTTCATTATTATTATAGATTTATTTTTAAAAAAAAGAAAAAACAAAAGAAAAATTCAAGAAATTCATTTCTTTAATTATAATAATAATACTGAAAGTATATTTATCTTATCTTTCTTTGAATTTTAATATTTTTATATAAATTTGATCTATTTTATTATTATAATTTAACTAACTATCTTATTTTTTTTATTAATTTAAATTTAATTAAAATTCTAACTTGTAGTTATTTTTATTATAAATCTTGTTATACTAATAACAATTTTAAGTATTTATATTATCTTATATTTTTATAAGATGAAGTTAATTAATATATTCAGTTTTTACTTAAAAGTTTATAGGATTTAAATAAGAAAAAAAATTAAAGAATAATATTTCTTCTGATAATAATAAAGAAACAGAATTAGTAGAATATAAATTATTTATATTAGAAAAGAGTAATTTGAAAGTTTAGAATATATTAAAATAATATTTATTTATTTAAATAAAATTTTATTCATTATATAATAATTACAGTATATGATTCTTAATTCTATCATTATTATAAATTTGCATAAATTATATCAATACTTAAATTTTAGCTTAATACTGTAATATCTATATAAATTAATCAGTTGAAATTATAAATTTTGATTGGTTAATTATCACGAAAAATCACGGGTAGATCTACAAAAATTAGCCAATCATATGAATGTCTGCCCATGAGATTATAAATAGATTATAGATGTTATACAAATTTTTGATAAGTCATACATTCCCATTATGAGACGAATTTTCATTGTGCATAGTTATTATAATAAATATGAAAATCGTATATATAAAAATGGATCATCTGACCAATCCCGATAAACCAGCGATGAGCCAATTGGTTTGTAAAGCTATAATATGATCCTATAGTCTTCAAAAGCATCGTCGCGACAAGCGAAGCGTCGTAAACTTTGCTTGAATAAACGATTTGATGAACGGAACAACTAACGTGCCCGGTGGTTTAGTTATATCGGCGGCTAAGCCTACAGTTTCGGTCAGTAATGGAGCTGTGGAAAGTGAAACTATAGCTAGTATTATTGCACGGGAAGAAGAATCAAGTGCTGCTGGTAGGCTTCTATATGCGTTGAAGGAACAAAATAAAGATATCATGAAACGAGAATACATTTCGAGGAAATCTTTTTTTTTGTAATGCAAAAAGCTATTTTTGAATTTACTTTTTCAATGAGGCTATTAAAACAAAAATATATCTGCATATGTATTATTACGATGGTTTCATACAAGTCATAAAATTTACTTTTATTATAAAATGTTGATGACATACGTGTATATTTTTTCTCATAACTAACTATAAAATTAACTATCGATAATTTAATAGCAATCACCCTTCATCAAGCGGCACAACAAGGGAATTTACATGCGATACAACATTTAATTGAGAGTGGCCAGGCAAAGGCCACAGATCGAGATGCTTCGGATGTTACAGCTTTACATTGGGCAGCTATCAATAATTATGTATTAGTAGCAAAATATTTGATTGATCATGGTGCAGAAGTTGATGCATTCGGTGGTGACTTGGTTGCAACACCTCTACATTGGGCCTCAAGGTGAGTTGAACTTTTACGTTACAACATTCATGATTTTCTTTTTACATTACATCAACTATCATACATCACTCTAACTGTTTTTGTAGGAGTGGTCATCTTCCTATTGTGACATTATTAATTAACCATGGTGCTAATCCAAATCTTCGGGATTCACAAGGTTTCAACGGCCTCCACCTCGCCACACATTCCTCCAATACAATGCTTGTATTATATTTATTGTTTCAAGATATGGACATTGATACACCCGACGCACTTCAACATACGCCTTTAATGTGGGCTGCATATCAGGGAGATCCAATGACCGTGGATTTATTACTTCGGTTTGGTGCGTCAGTTGATAAGCGTGATAATGCACAATTCACGCCGTTGCATTGGGCGGTTGTGAAGGGAAATAATATGTGTCTAAGAAAGTTGATAGAAGCCGGTGCAGACACAAGCGCAAAAGAAGAGAATGGGAAAACCCCTGCCGACATGGCTCGAGAGTCGAAAGCAATGAGAGTGTGGGAACGGGCGTTGAAAGAAACCGGAAGAAGAAAGGATGGTAAAATCAATCCATATTTATTTGACCAGGTACCAAAAAAAATTTAAATTGAAAATATATTTCGAATATTTGAAGTATGAAAATTTTTAATAATGATGATAATATTGATCTCAATATTTAATTTATCTCGTCTTGATTTTATTTTTTGTTAATTAATCGCCAAACTTTTGTACTACTATTATTCTTATTCTTATTCTTATTCTTATTTTTATTATTATTATTATTATTATTATTATTATTATTATTATTATTATTATTATTATTATTATTATTATT